TGAAGTATCAGTTGAATGATTTGTTAGAGAATTATGACCGATAAAGGACATCGCTACAAAGTATTACAGCTCGAAACCAAGCAAAATTCAGTACAACATTGATTTACTTTGGTTCCTCTGTCTTGTGTCATGCAGATTGTTACGACTGACCCCCAAACACAACAAATGATGCTGGGAAGAGAATTTGACGTGAAAAATGTACAATTCAGTCGCATCTCAAATAAAGTTATCTAGTGTTACATTCCAAACTAATGACTCAACTTTCTTCTTGGTCAATATCATTTTCTTTTCTTTTGTCACCAACCAAAATTTATAAAAACTACTCTAAAAGGCTAGCTATATGAACAAGCCAAACAAGAATTTCGATGCAGATGCAATCGAAAGGGTCTTTCCGAGCCTGAGCTGCTTTAGCAAGACAGTCCGCTCGTTGGTTCATACCACGAGGTATATAAGCAATAGAAAAACATTCAAAATGCATAGACTCAATGCTAATTTCTTCCACCATATATGCCATAGCCAACCAATCCTCAGAGTTCTAGATGACACTTACGAGTTGCGCACAATCTGTCTCGAAGTGTATTGCCCGTTTTCCTTGCTTTACCATCGCCCACATCAGTCCTTCTGCTTCTGTGTGTAGTGGCGATGTAGCTTTTGCACAGTTTTGTAGCCCCAACAAGCATTTCTAATCACCTTCCAGCACCATAAAACCCAGTCCCATTATTACGTTCTCATGTGTCCACGACTACTTGACATTGTGTTTCTCTACGTTCCCTTCCTTCTTCGTAGGTCGTTGTACCCTTGACTCCTCCTTGGCCATCCGCACCAACTCAATCTTCTATTCTATAGCAGTGGCGATATGCGCCATCTTCCAGCTCCTTGCTTCAGAGTGCGAGCTGCAGTGTATCCATCTGTTAAATAATTTGTTGTTTGGCCCTTTCCATAGTACGATCGGAAGAGTTGGAATATTTGACAAAGCCAGGAAGAGTTGGAATATTCGACAAAGCCCAGCATTGTAATGCCGGAGGCACTCAAAGAGGATGTGATTGATCGTCTCCTCCTCTGCACCACATCGGAGACAAGATCTATCAGTAGCACACTCTATCGCACAATTTGCTTGTTGATGAAACAAAACCAGATACAGCTTGCCAAATGAAGTGTTTGATTTTCCTTGATGTTTTCAGGTTCCAAACTTCACTCTTTAGCTTTGGCACACTCGCCTCTTCAACCAAAGGCAGTAGACTGTCTTTTCGTTTGGCATTTATCACTTCGTATATGATCCTGACTTCGTGTGTTTGCGACTTGGTCTAATCTTCAGAATTTTTTCTGCCTCATCCGCCACCATCAGTTCTCTAATAAGCGGCTCGTTCCAGCATTTAGTCTCATGAATGATCAGGTGATGCACTCTCAGGTCTACTACATCTCCCCACCGGAATGCCCGGTTGCGCCTCCTCCTCTGGGATCCAGCAATCCTCCAACACTTTAGTATCAGTTCGGTCCTAATCGTACGTTGCAGACCTTCGCTCAGCACTGATCTCGCAGTCCATAATTATTAGCATTCCCCACTAGCATAGGATTCAAGTGACGATAACCTTTCAGTACTCTTGCCAGCAGCAAATCAGGGTAGATAAGCAACCTCCATAATGAATATCTTTTTTAACTATATATTTTTTCAACTTAGGACTCTGTGACATAACGTATGACGCTGTAACAGCATTTAAGAACAAACAAAAGAAAAAAGAAAGTGACACAACTAGTCCTTGATGATACATTAAGATCTTAAGACAGTAACAGATTATTCAAACACCTAAAATAGGTGTTGTGTATGCAAAATCCAATCTATTGAAAGTACAAAAAAAAGCAAAACATGCGCTTTCTTCTCAAGATGATGATCCTTCATTGTTTGGCTCACGAATCTGGATTGATGTTTTCGACAAGCTTGCTTCCAATTCATCAAGCTCATCCATGTCCAAATCATCATCATCGTCATCATCATCCTCATCTTCGACTTCTTTCTGTTCAGCATCACCACTACTCTTGCTTGTCCCTGCCTCTGTTTCTTTGTCCTTCGCCTGAAAAGCAAAAATTCAAGATTCCAATAACATGACTTGGTTTAGTGGTTTGGTTTATACAATGAGTGGGAGCGAGAGAGTTCACCTTCTGTTCAATCTCTTCCTCTTCCTTTTCCCTCTGGTATTCTTCAAAAGCTTCAGCATCATCCACAAACAAGCTTGCATTGGACAGAAACAACTCCCGACCACTGAGATCACACACACAATGAATCAGCTTACGAGGATCAAAACAATGAGTCACACTAGGCAACAAAATGATGAATGGTGGATGATTACCTCATACGGTCGTTCTTAGCTCTCTCCGCTTGAGAAGCAGCCAAACCTGCATCTCTCTCGGCTATTTTCTTCCTCTTCCATTCCATAAATAGCGCAGGTGTCATTTGTGTAGCCGTTTTCAGTTTTGCACGCTGAAACAATAGAACAAGAATCAAGTTTAGGGACCTAGCAGCTATGAGCAGATTGAGAAAAGCTGGAAAAAAACGAGGATGAAACCTCATTTTCGATTTCTTCTTCAACTGGCATCTTCTGTGACTCCTCTTCCAAGAGAGCCTTCATTTGAGATTTAAGGATATATCCAGGAGGTAGAGCATGTCTGTAATGACACTCTTTGCCACCGTTGGGGCAAGCCCAGAACCACCCATACTGTTTCTTTTCCACCGCGTCCAGAAAATACTTGCAAACCTGTTATGTATTATCGGTGAAACAAACTATTATTTAAGGTCATGCAAGACAATGAAATTCATCATGTGTTTAGCGATAAGAACTTCTCTTAGTGTAGAATTAAGCTAACTATATTGTTAAGAAACAGTGACATCATGATGACAATGTTGTTTAAAGCACACTACCATCACCAGAAGCATGAGTTCTTGTCACGCATGATCCAGGTGAGGAGAAAGCAACAGGGAACAAGGGAAGGTAAGCGACAGTGTAGGAACCAAATAGCTCCTAAGACGTGAACCATGCTATTAGCAAAGCCAACATATTATAAGGTGAACATAAACCCCAAATATCAGCTAAAACTTGGTCACATACAAAAAATGCAAATGTAATACATCACTTTGAATAATTTAATGGCTGAATATATATATATATATATATATATATATATACAAAAGAACGTATACCAAAAAACCAGAAGAGTCCTCAATCAACATGAAACTACCCAAGAAAGGTTTTAGATATAAAGAGAGGAAAGAAACGGCTTACAATATCAGTAGGCTTGTTCTGGTTATATTCATTTTTCTTTGATTCCACAACCTTTTCAAGGGTCTCTTGATCCCACTCCTCCATATTTCCATCTTAAAACAAATATAAAACAAAACATAAGACCATCGCTCAAGATGGGATGTAAATAATACGGCAACACTTGTGGTTTTTACCTTCATCACGCTTATCGCTGTAGATATCGATCTTCTCACCCTTCCTTTGAATGTTCAAATCATGAGAGAACTTGCACTTGAATCCTTTTTGACACTGACCCGCCTTAAAAAACTCACACAAGATGGATTTTGGATCCACACCTGCCAAAAAACATATATTCTATAAAAACATTGAAACACAACACAGGGAAGACTGAACTTTACATGAGAGCATTTTGGTTGATGAAAAAAGAAGAAAACATTACCAACAGGAACCTTAGGCTGGCTAATGGCAACCTTGAACAACTCATTCAACTCCTGTTCTCTAGCTTTCTCTTCCTCTTTCTTTTTCTGTCCTCAAAAAAAATGAAAACCATTTTCTTTTTAGTAAGAACTTAATTGAAGAAAGAATTAACTGTTTCAGCAACAAACTAATTCTAATCATCAAGAAACTAAAGAAAAAAACAATTTCATCAGGAAATGGAACAGTTTCAAGGAAGGAAGGAAGAATATGTAACCTTGGCTGCAACTTTAGACGCGTCAGGTTTAGGCTGAACAGATTGCTTGAGACTCTGGACATACTTCTGAACATTCTTGCTCTTGTTCTTGTTTTTCAGACCGAATGTCTTGTCTTCAACTTGCTTCTGCTTTTTCGCCAAATCTGCCTTTGGTTGTTGCTTTGGAGGCATTCTTCTTCTTCAAATCAAATCCTGCAAACTTCTTTAGAGTAATCTCGAGAAGGTTCTTAAAGCTAATGTGTCAAAATTAGGGTTTTTATGTATACAGAAAACTATAAAAAACAAAAAAAAAAACAAAAACGAAAAACCCAAATTCAATCGATAAAATAAGAAAGGACCCCCCAGAATCTCTGTATGGAACCAAAACGGCGGACCTTAATGACTAATTAACGATCGAGACTAGGGGCAAACACTAATCACATTTGCCTGCCTGATATAACCACCTCTGTCTACTCCAATACTCGAGAGTTTACAATATTTGGGCCTTTAAATATTAATGGGCCTACCTTAAGGTCTATATAATGACTCGGCCTATTAAGTTTATATCTTCTAACGGTCTTCTTCGGCGCACATTCCTCAACTATACTAATAAACACAACCAAATGCATCACTACAATCAACTAAGTGCTAAAAGCAAAGCATCCGAAGCTTCTCACCACTGCGTTTGGTTCTATTCTCGTCGCCTAGGATTCCATTTTTTTTTTCTACCAAAAATAGAGAGTTAAAGGACTTTTGGGGACTTATGTGTTATCACCATCCTCGGCTTGAATTACAATCTAAGACATTAATAAAACTAAGATATTAAGACTAAATTTTCTTTTAAAAAATTTGTGGGGAAGAAGAATACAGAGAAATATATACAGACACCCTCACTATGTTGTTGCTTTTGCATCCTCGCAAAATCAAACAATTAAATCTATTTGCCGAAAATGTGAAAAACTAAAAACAAAACCGAACTCCTAACCAATGTCTTTACCCATTTGCACCGAACCAAACCTAAACATGCAGCTCAAGGGTTGTGAGCCCATTTTCTTCACTTTACATTTTCTGGTTTCTCAGAACCAGTCGCCGTTCCCGGGCCAGAGATGTCTAGATGATGATGGTCCACCGTGCTCGCTCATGCTTCTTCCCATTCTGAATAAGCTTCTTCTACTTCTAACTGGCAGTAACGGACCCGACCTGTTTGGTAGAAACAGGCCTCCTTCTCTAGGAATGCTAGAGCCAGAGTGAGGCCGGTTTTCCATCTCCTCAAGCGGCCCTGAGCTATAATCCATGGTTATGAACGTGGACGCTTGACCATACCTTAACCGAGGAGTCAAATTCCACCAGCTACTTTCTGAGGGAGCCAGATCGCCTTTGCAGTCTGCAGAGTCCGGCACTGATGACTCCTTCTGGCTGCAGTAGTCTCCACCACATGTCTCATCTGCATCGTTGTATATAAGTTTAAGTGCCTGCACCACTTCACCCATGAACGGTCTGTGCGAGACCTCTTGGTGGACGCACATGGACGCAATCGCAGCCACTCTCGCCATGTCATCAAAGTCGTAGGTTCCAGCCAATGTGGGGTCAACCAGTTTCTCCAGCCCCTCTCTGGTGGCTAGTAAAGGTCTCGCCCACGTCACAAGGTTTTCTTCACCCGAAGGTTGAGACATGTCTACCGGTCTTCTACCGGTGAGAAGCTCGAGTAGAACCACACCGTAACTATAGACATCGCTTTTCACAAGGAGATGTCCCGTCATTGCATACTCAGGGGCCACGTACCTGCCATTTATTTCCATTATAAGGCCAACATCAAACCAGAGTATCCGTATTCATCATATAAGCATAAGATTGGGTATTGAGGTATTCAAAGCAAGACAATTAGGAAGAAGCTTTACCCAAAGGTCCCCATGACTCGAGTAGAAATATGTTGGCTTTTTTCGGTAGCTTCTCTGGCCAGTCCAAAGTCTGACACCTTCGGGGTAAAGTCATCTTCTAAGAGAACATTGCTGGCCTTGAAATCCCTGTGGATTACTCGGGGATTTGAATCTTCATGGAGATAAGCCAGTCCTCTCGCTGCTCCAAGTGCAATCTTCAACCGCGCATCCCAGCCAAGCGTTCCTTCTGTTTTGTTAATACCCGGAAACCAGGCTTTAGAAAGTGATAAACGGAGAATTATGGTTACTAAAGAAAGTGCAGTGAGTAGATAGAGTATGTCACCGTGCAAGTGGGACTCGACACTCCCATTGTGGACGAGCTCGTAAATCAAGCAACGTGTACGGCCTTCAATGCATATTCCAATCAGTTTTACAAGATTACGGTGGTGCAAACGGCTTAGCATCTCGACTTCTGCAATAAACTCACGGTCTCGATTCTGATTGTCCCTAGTTAGCAATTTAACTGCAATCTCGGTTCCATCTTCCATGCTGCCCTGATATACACGACCAAATCCTCCCTCGCCCAAAACCCTCATGGCACTGAATTTATCAGTTGACTTCTCGAGCTCGGAAAGTGTAAAGGTCTTAACGGACAAAGCACATGTCGCCATGGAAGACATCAAAGAATCTGATCCCGGGCTTCTGGGGCTACTGGGAAACATAGATCCAGCACCTGCAAGGTTTGTAAAATGCCAGGAACGGATTCATGGATGAAATGCACCATGTTGTTACATAAGCAAATATCTGTTATAAAATCAAGGGAGAAATTTACCAGGTTTTTTCTTCATCGATGAAGCAAATGCAGGGCCAACAGCAGTAGATGACATCCCAACTTTGTTCCATTGCATGACTATAAATATAGCACCAGATAAAACCAGCGCGAGCACGAAACCTGAGAGGACAATGATTGCAATCGTTCTAAAATCTATTCCCTGTCTTTTGTTGGCAAAGGCTGCAGTGACTGGAAGCCCTCGAGTACTTGCAGTTGGAGCACCGTCCACATTGTCTCCATATGGTGAAGAAGAAGGAATTCCTGGAGCGAAGTTAACAAGTTTTAAAAAAAAATATAGAAAAGGTAGAAACTAGTGTTACAGAGAAAACAGTTTACCTGGATAACTTATGTGTGTAACCTCATAATCACCAAAAACAGACTCATTTAGAGGCACTTTCTTGTGCCGGAACCTTTGGTAAATAAGTATCGCCGTAGTATTGTCGAATTTTTCCCCAAGTGGAACAAGGTTAATATCCACCACTGTTTTCCCTTGATTTTCACTGTCTGCACTGGCACCCATTATTTTGACTTGGCTTTGTTCCAAGTATGTTCCAGCAGCAACCTCAATTTCTAACTCGCGGATCACAGGGAAAATAGAAAAAGGCGCGACACTAAGCAGAAGCTGAACTTTCATGGGGAAGACACAACCACAAGGTGAACCAAAGGGAGATGAAGTAAGAGGCTCCACGCATGCCTGTTGACAGTCTATCAGAAAAGCCAACAGAGAAATGAGTAATTACTACCTTTTTTTCTATCTTATCGATAGTCAACAAGAAGCAAAAAGGAGTACCGTGTGAGGAAGGTGAAGCTGCAGTCACATTGCGTGTTAAATGCCAGAGACGATGGTGGAGATGATCTTTGTGTGTTGGTGTGGGAATGATGCTTGGGTTGGGGGCCAAAGCTGAAAATGGAAGAAAATAAAGTGAGTATTAAATACATTGGGAGAAAACATAGTTACACTGTTTTTAGACAAGGAGATTAAGAATATATGTGAGTAAGAGGATCCACTTGCTGACCTGGTGAAGGTGCTGGAGCAAGAGATGGATAAAGATGAGGATGAAAAAAACGCACTTGATGAGATTTGGATCGGGTAATAGTAGGAAACAGCCTAGCTGCAAAAATATAAAGAGTAAGCTGATAAGTCATCCAGAGACAATTTCTTTCTAGCGGCAAATACTTAAAAAGAAAGTAGGAAGCCTGCGTTAAGGACAAGAATGTGTAGCAAAAGGGATAAATCCTCAAGATGCTGAGAAGGTAGAAAGTAAGCTCTATCTATGTGGCCACAGGTTCCAAACTTAATGAATCAGGATCTTAAAAGCTAATAAAACCCTTTTTTGCTTAGTTTATACATTAATTAATAATAAACAATTCTAAATATAGCTCGCAACAGAAAACTTAAGCTATCCTTTCTGAATCGCTTCCTAATAATTTGTTTTAACGAATCGAAGAGGGGGAGGGACGTTGTGTATACCTAAGCATAAGGGAAAGGAGGCGAGAGAATGAATAAGGAGAAATAGCAGCAGATGCATCGCAAAGTTCCGCAGCATCTTCATTCGTCACCGAACATTGCCGGAAACCCTCCCAAGATTCAAAAATTGGAAAGGAAGCCTATCCTCCATAATCATAATTTTCTGCAAAGCTTCGCAGATATTGATTTTCTTCCCAAACACAAAACCCTGGGTGGGTCGA